GTAACCAGCACCTGATCATCAGCAAAGGCTTGTTGGATGCATATCGCAGAGGCTGTGAGAAGCTGCGGGGTGCGGCTGCATGGAAGGTGGAGTCGAGAAGCCGTGAGGCAGCAGTCCGCTGTGGCAGTCACCAAGACAGCTAGGATCCGTTAGGAATCGCAGGGAGCAGTGGCAACAGAGTGGAAGACTGCCAGGTCATGGTCCATTGGATCGCATTCTGCCTGATTTGGCGGGCTACCAGCCTGCAGAGTTGGGAGCTGGCCTTTACTGCTATTTCTGCTGGTGCGGAAATGGTGTCCGTGCTGTTGGGTGATGTTGGCTTGGTGGAGTGGGTAGAGGGGGGGGTTCTGGGGTTGAGGGGCTGCGCCAGGCGTCGTAATTGTTTGTGCTTTCCCTGTTGCCACTTGTCCTTCCTTCTTCGTCATTGCTGTTGCTGTTGCTTTGGGTGTTGCCGCTGAGTCATTGAAGTTGTTGTGCTGCTGTTGCTTTGCTGCTTCTTTTACTTCTGCCGCGATTGTTGGGCGGAAGCTGTGTAGTTTGCACAGATTCTGCGAGGCTTCCGAGATTGCTCATCCGCTTGTGAGCGAGTACGGTGTGGGCCTGGACCCGCAAGACGTGAGATGGTTGCTGCTAAGAACGGGACGTGAGATAGAGGCTGTGTTGCTGGGCAGACGTTGAGCTTGCGCATCATTACACAAAACCTCTGTGAGCAGAATCGGCTTTGGCCATTATAGGTTCTTTTTGTCAGGCACTCAAGGCTGTCGACATCTTCCTCCGCCAGCGCCAGCAAAGCGACCGGAGTCTGTTCAACCTCTCCAGCCAGGCGATGGCTAAGACAGTAGTGAAAGCAGCAGCAACATTTATAGACCCGCTTTGCCGCATCCCGAGATCGCGACGATCCAGTTCGCTTCAAGCTTCAGTACTGCAGATGCCGAACATCAGCAGACTTACCGGGCTGAGCGCGAGGCCGAAGCAGCCCGCATCGACATGCATTGGCAACAGGTTCAGCGTCAGCAGGAAGAGGCTGCGTCTCTGAGGAGGGAAATTGCCGCTGTGGAGCCCGACTTGGAACATCACGAGCAGGAGCTGCAGGCGGTTCAGCAAGCAACTGAGCCCCTGGGATGTGAGTACATGAGACACATGTGCGGGCGGCTGATGTTTGTAACTTCCAAATTGCTTCCTGCTTGGTGTGATTAGCTGTCACCGAGATAC